ACATGACGCACACACACACACACACGTACGCAAGCACACACACACACACACACACGCACTGAATCATAGAGTAGGCCTACATGTTCTATACATGTATATCAATCTATTTTGTCATCCATCCTACAGACTGATTAGACAAGTCACTTCTAACTTAGATTTAAACTGATGTGTAAGCTGACAAAACGCCCTTTTTTACGGAGCAGTTTCGAGAAATCAACGATTTTCGGTTTTCTTACAATATCTCAACTACTTTGCCCTGTACATCAACGTTTGAACTCGCACCCTTATTCGAATGTCATTCCCTAGGTACAACAACGATTTTGTTTATTTTCTTTGAGAAATAAATAATCACAAAAAAGGCGTTTTGTCAGATTTGCCTTACACAAGGCGTTTTAACAAGAACGCCTTTTTTGAGATGTTCGCTGACTAAACGCCTTTTTTTTTTACAGTCGGTTGCAGAAAAAAAGGCGTTTTGTCAGCTTTGCCTTAAACAAGGCGTTTTAACAAGATAGCCTTTTTTTTTAGACGTTCGCTGACAGAACGCTTTTTTTAATAGTTAATGGCACAAAAAAGGTGTTGTGTTGGCGAACTCTTAAGGGAAATGTATTTAGCCGCACTTATTTATAAGTTAGAATTGGGAGACGGGAGATGGGGCACAGAACCCCTTTGAAGTTTGCAGCCGCGGCGAAAAAGAGGCGTTCTGTTGGCAAACTATTAAAAAAGGCGTTTTGTAAGCGTAACCATTTAAAAAAGGCGTTCTTCCGAAATTTGAATGTTAATTTATTCAAAAACTAGTCAGTTTCACTGAAATTTTTTCACACATGTAGGGTAACAGGTCAGACTATCGATTTAGCAAATAAAACATTTTCGCGCCAAAATGAAAAAAGGCGTTTCGTCAGCTTACGGCAGATTAGATGGCACATGCACTCAGAACAACACTGGAATTCAGTTTCAGTTAATCACATTTCTTCATCCAGATCAAGCAGCTCCCGCAAGTTCGCCATAAAAATTAAAAGCATTGGCATCCTTTTATGTTTCTATTCTAATTGGAATCCCCAGTGCATATTTGAATTTCATCTTTCAAAATATCAAACAAAATGCCACACTGTAATTCTTTTGAAAAGAAAAGTTCGAGTTACTGTTTTTAATTTGCAGACTTTGTTCCCTACTATAGCTGATTTGATTTGGTTGCCCATCCCTCTTCATCAGGAGCCGTGTCCAAGAATACACTTACCCGGATTCGAACCGATGTTCACTGCTCAGAAAGAGAAGTAGCAATAATAGCTTAGCAAATGGAGCACCTTCATGAATGCTTTGCTCCCACCAAATCTGGACTTTGACAGACTCGGAAACTAACATGGAAATGAATACTTTCTATCTCGCTGCAAAATCTAGCTAGTTATTAGGGGCACCACTGAGCTTTGTTTTACAATAATAAATATTAAGGAGATATTTCAAGTCAACATGTACATATTATGCGCAAAAAATTGAACTGGTTTATAGAGATCTCAGATATGATTGGATCATGGTATTTTAATTCTACAATTTCCAGTGAGTGTGAAAATCTATTTCACACCTTAAACAAAAAGAGGGGGTTCTGTAAAGATGTATGCTGTGTTGAAGTTTTGTCTCTCAAAATAATATAGATTTGATTCATGAAACAAACTGTCCGAAGTCACCCCTCTTCGTCCGAAGTTTCCCTCACGTTTGTCCTATCTCTCCTGCAGGTGGTTCCAGACATCTTAGGGTAACTCAGATATGATACTCAGGTTTTAAAAGGTGATGATGCATGAAACTGATATCGCTAGTGGTGATGCCCAAATAACGTATTTTTCTTTGGCTTAAATTGTATCTGGACTGAGCGGTGTAGCCTTTATGTAATGTAAAAAGTGTCCGAAGCCCCCAGATTCTCCCCTTCACATTTTCTATACGATAGTTGAACAAATTAGATATATACGTAACTAGTTAATGAAGGTGATTATTATATGTTATATGTGTGCTAACTATAGCATTTGCCATGACTGTTTACAAGACCATTTTTGGGGGGTAGGGGGGGGGGGAGAGGAGGTGACTTTGCAAAGCCCTGACGCTACTAAAGACTTCAAATAAAAAAACTGGATAGCTGAAAGAAAGCAAATTTTATGCCCTCTCAAGGAACATCCATTTGAGTTTGTTGGGTATTAAAACAATTCTGATACAGTTGGGTACAGATAGCATGAACATGGAAGTTTTGAAATCACTTATATCTCTTGAATGTTTCGTTAAAATATTGGTTAACCCGAATTCTAGAGGTATAAAACATGACATTTGTCAATCCCTGATGTGTTTGGGTTATCCTGCCGACTATAACTTTTTGGTGAATTATGACGAATTAAATTGAGGTCACGTTAATTCCTTAATAATTCATCAGAAAAGAGCAATCAGACCAGAAATGATGTAAAAAAAAGGTGCCACTTTGAACAATGGTCTACTGAAAATCCTGCCTAACTGTTATCATATTCTAATTTCTTATACATGTACATGGTGGTAGGCCTATCTGTTAATATTTTTCAACCTGGGTAAGATAAATGGCTCCTTGTTTTTTAACTGGATTGAAAAAACCCATTGTACACTCCACAGACTTGTATAACAATATCCCACATAGTGTAGGCCTACTCTGAAGTAATTGTGGTACACCAAGCAGTTCATCATTCGACTGTATTTGGAACCAAATGAAGGAAGACTTGGGTGGGAACTCAACTTTTAGGAGACTGGCGTTTTTCCCTTTATCTGTGCACAATGGTTTATTACTCCAAAGCGGCAAAGTTTTTATAGAGAGTAAAGAGTGTCGCCCATGACATTGCTCGGTTGAGGATATGTGAGGCAGCGTGGTGAAACCAGGCGCTCGTCAAAATAATCTAAGTGAAGAGACTGACATTTTTCTGCAGGTTAGTGAATTTTTTATTGAATTCTTGTTTTTTTTATCTCAACACCCTTCATGCATATTAAAGAACACATTTCTGTGTGGGTTTTACTCAAAAACATTAATAAAAAGCAAAACATTTTTAAATTTTCAGTTTCCATGGACTCTCAAGCTAAGGAAATAACTAATCTTTGAAAGCCATTTTCTCACTAATTTTACCTCGGATACCAGGAGACCCCTACCTCTTTCTTTCGCAAATACCTCGACTTGTATTCCAGATAAATGGATACTTTTTTCATCCTAGGCAAGACAAATGAACACACTTTAAGATAATACCAAAAACTCTAAATGCCTCAAAATTGACTAGAGCCTGATTCCACCACGTCTTGACTCTATTAGATCTATAAATTCAAGTCTTAGGCACACCCAGTATAACCATCTGCTTCCCTCAGTCTCAGTTGATGAAGCAGCTCAGAGGTTTGACTTGGGAGAGAAGCGATCCAGCCGGAAGGGAGCCATGTTGTAAGATGGCGTCTTTCCTGAGATTAGCTCAGTTACAGCTTTGCCAACAGCTGGAGCCAATTTGAACCCATGGCCTGGAAAATGGATGAAACAAAAGAAAAAGAAAATAGGCTCATTTATAATTGTTGGCATTTTATACCTGGAAAGGGAAAGGGGGTGGGGGGGGGGGGGATATAATAAGATTTTGCTGTGTGAATAAACATAAGACATTCAGGCATACCCCAAAAATATATTATAAAGAACAAAGAGCGGAGTTAGAGAAAAACTTGACAAAGCAGGTACGAGAAGAAGACTTGAACAAACTGACTGACACATTTATCCACAGCAAAGATCAAGGGGTGGGATGTAGACAGACAGAAGTACATGTAAAAAAATAAGTTCACTCTCTCATACAGTAGAGTAGGCCTACGCTTAAACTAAACTCTGCAGGACTGGTGTAGAAATTTTGCTCAAATAACATAGGAAAAAAAATGGGGATTTTATTTTTTGAGGGGTTTAGCTCTTTAAAGTTAAAATTTTCATTTGAGTTTTATGGCACTTGCAACACAATTAGGACGTGTAAGTACTGAAGATTACAGGTACAGTGGAATCCTGTTATAACGAGGAGGGGACAGGTACAAAATGTCCGTTATAGCAGGATTCTCGTTATAAGGGATCTAGTAATAAATTCAAAGGAATTTATAAAGTAGGCCTAGTCTATGAGTTCGGTGTTCAGTTTATTTATTTTTGTTATAATCGCCCTATTTGATGATTTTGCCCAACATGACCCCTTGGTCTTACTTGATGAAATATCGAATCAGGTTTCTTTCTCTAGCGCTAGCAATGTTGACACTAGTTAGGCGTTGGTGATCATAAAGAAAGTTCTCTGGGATAACTCGCCCGTTGAGTTGTCCCTCGCCCTACCACAACCTGTGGTGCGTTCTGTCTGCTTGTGCACGTCATACGTTCGCTCCATCCATCACAGCACTATGGCCTCTCTATCCCCGCATCGGAGTAGTGAGACTAGGCTGGTCTATCACACGACGCGCTCTTCTTCACAACTGCTTGTCTGCGCATGAAACTTCCTCCCCACTCTTTCGCTCCGACCTTCATTGTTGGCACACGTGGGCTCTCCCATTCTTTGTTTCGCTAGATCACCAACGAGTTTCTCAACTGGCGAGGTTTTTCATTGAATAAATATGGCCTATGCGCAGTGCACAGCAGCCTTTATAACAGAGTTCTTGTTATTTCAGGACACGTTATAAGTGGACTCCACTATACAGTGGAACTCGGATTCAACGAGGTCGCCGGGCCTGACCTAAAATCATCTAGTTGAATCCGAGCTCGTTGAACCCAAGCTCGTTGAATCCGAGTTCCACTGTATTACAAAAGAGTTTTAAAAATATTTCAAAAGTAGGAGGAGAGAAAATAATAGTAGATGTTTCACAGTTTCATAGGAAAGATTTAAAGAGCAAACCATACCTGAGATGTAATTAAATTTATCATCTTCTGCTTAAGTGGAGTCCCCTGTACTAGATAAAAATCTACAGAGACATGCAATAAGAAACTGAAAGAGAGAACAATGTAGAAAGGGGCATTTAGAGGGAAACATGAAACACTCTTAATAATGTACCTGAGAAGCCAGCGCATATGACCACATTAGGGTATTGTGGGTGTCGATCTATGAACGGATGTTTGTCCGGGGTGTTCTGGAGAATGAAATTGTCAAAGGAAGACATGAATGAACAAATGAAGGAAAGAAGACAAGAATGAAAATGTTGAGACATATCATAATATGGAAATCAGGCGCTCGTCGAAATAATGAACTCAAAGGAACTGGCTTTATTTCTTTCTACCCATGGCCAATTTTAGAAAAAAAATATTTCCTTGGCAGCACCATTCATGTGCATTCAAAAATTCATTTCTATTTGATCTGTACTGAAAAACATAAGTTAAAGGCAGAAAAAATATAAATTTTCAGTTTCCAAGGACTCTCAAGCTGTGGATGTCACCTAACTTTGGCGGCCATTTTCTTGCTAATTTTATCTCTGACACCAGGCGACCCCCACCTCCTTCAATCGCAAATAGTATGACTTCTGTTCAAGAGAGATGGAGAATTTTTTTACCGTAAGCAAGATAAATGAAAAAGCTTCAAGATGATATTAATAACTCAATTTGTCCCAAATTTTGTTTGAGTTCTATAAGTTCAATGCCCTAATATAGAAGAGCACACAAAAAAGACCATTTCAAAGGTAGAGCATTTTACAACTGACCTGGTGTGAGAGAGGGCAAATGATAGGTCTACACTTAAATAAAGGTAAACATCACACGCACATCTTGATATAAATGTTTAGCGGTATTTTTTTTCTTTGTCGAGATAACAACTGATAACCAAAAAAAAAACACAAAAAAACCCTACAAATATTAACACAAATGTCTTAATTTAGTTGCTTTTTCTTTATTTTTAAGGCAGTCTTAAATCGGTAATTTATCTTTGTCGAGATAACAACAAATAGCAACTGAAAACGACAAACAACAACTGATAACAGCAAATAACAACTGATAACAACAAATAGCAACTGATAACAACAAATAGCAACTGATAAGAACAAATAGCAACTGATAACGACAAATAACAACTGATAACGACAAATAATAACTGATAACAACAAATAGCAACTGATTGCAGGCTGATGGTGTAGTGGGGACAGAAGAAATGTGATTTTCTTTTCTTTTTTT